ACGCCCGTCCAGGCCTCGCCCTGCTTCTCACGCCCTCTCCCGTCCCCGAGGGAGCCGGCGGCAGCCAGGACACTCGCTCCGCTCCGCAGGGCGGGGTCACCGCCTCCGACCAGGCCGCCAAGCTCTCCTGGGACCCCGGCGGCCCCCTCCTCCCGTGTCCCCGCGGCCGCCGGCGCAGGCCTGCACTGCGGCCACGTGGCCAGCCCCTGTCACAGGTGGGCAGGCCCAGGCGCACAGGGGTCGCGGGACGGGCCGTGAGGAGCACAGACGTCTGCCCCCCCACCTCTCAAACACACAGCCCCGCGGTGACAGCAGCCTCCCGGAAACACGCGAAACAGCCGCCTCCCGCGGGGAGCTGGCCCCCAGCCCCTGTGCTCCAGGACTCGGCGGGGGCGGGGGTCACTGAACCCGGCTCGGGGACCGAAGGAGGCGGAATGTCAGGGCTCGGAGGGGCCCCCTGGGAATCGGCCCGGCCATCCTGGTAAAGACACCAAGCTGAGGCTGCGCCGAGGCTGCGACGGCCCCGGGCCCGTGGCTCCCAGGCTCCCAGACTCCCAGGCAGCCGGGGCAGCGTCGGACGAGGTGCCCGGTCTCCGGACGGGACACCTCACCGCCCCGGCTTCTGCAGGGGGCTGCTTTCCCACAGGTGCGCCACTTCGCCTGTCCGGCATTGGAGAACCTTCTAGAAGGACCGATGGCCTGTGGGTGAGGGGCTGACGTGGGGCTTTCAAAGCTCGGTGCTGGGGGCGGGGTGCGGGTGATGGCGGAGCCGAGGGCTGGCTCGCCCCTCGCACACTGTGCGTTTTCGTCCTGAGACCCGAAGGCGACCTTGGTCCTCAGGGTCCCCGCCTGCGGCTGCGGGCACCTGCGCCGCAGGCTGGTGGTGCGCGTGAGCGTGAGCAGAGGGCTGGCCGCGGGCCTGCCAGGCGCGCAGCCCCGGGGGCGGCACGGGGCCCGCGGGTGACAGGACGCACCGTCCGGAGGAAGTGAAGCTGCGGCGCAGTCGCCGAGTCCCGGAGCCGCGCCCGTCACTCTCAGGTGGACACGTCACTGGCTTTCTCCCCGTGCGAAGGACGGGAGGGAGGACCAGAGGGGCAGGCGGCATCGGCGAGGTGGTGGGAGGGGAGGAGGGGGCAGCGGGGACGGGGGCTCCGGGGTCACTGGGACCAGCGCGGTGTGGGGGGGGGGTGTGTTCGAGAGGCAGAGGCAGCTTCCAAGGAAGGGAGGAGGCCGAGGGCGGGAGCGGGGGCGCCGGCGGAGCCGCTGTCCTAGGCGCTTCCTTCCCCGGACGGGGCCTGGCTCCCGGGGGGCACGGGGCTGGGTTCCCTCCCTTCGGGAGCAGAGGGTGGTGACCTTGGGCTTTCACGCCGGACTCGGCATCAGGCCGGGGGCTGCTCTGGACTGTGCCATCTGCCCTCCCGGAGCAGCCGCCCCTGCCCCTCCGCACTCAGGCAGCGTCTCCCCGGACAGGACGCGTCCCGGCTGCTCTGAGGGCCGGCTGGCAGCGGGCCCGGCCCCGGGAACCCTCCGGAGCCACTCGCACCTTAGAAAGCCACCTCGTCGAAGTTTATCCCTGGAGCGGAACCAGCCCTGCCAAGGGGAAGCCGGTCTACCTAAACCCAGGGAACAGTGGCAAATGACGCTTTCCTTTCTCCAGATAAGGAAACCGAGGCACAGGGAGAGCCCCTCAGAGGACGTCACCAACAGCAATGGTGACACCCCCGTTTAACAAAGGGCTGCTTCCTTGGCCCGTAGTCAGCATTCAACAGCCACTTGGCAGGAGGGCAGGCGTTTTCCTACAGCCCCAACCTCTGCAACAACTGGGCAACCTTAGAAAACTAAGGCTGAGAGGAGGGAAACCTGCGCAAGGCCACCCGCCGCTCGAGTGGCAGATTTGCGACCAGCGCCCAGGCCTGCGGCTCGGCAGCCCCGCGGAGCTCGGAGTGGAGCTGCGGCTCCTGCTGCCGCGCACACCCCTCTCCTACCCGTGTCTCCACGCCAAGCCCTACCCGCTCACCTTTGTGTGGCCTTCTGTGATCATTGTGCCCCGGTTCTTGGAGCGGGGTGGGGGGGCCGGGGCCCAGGCCCGTAAGAGTAAATAAAGGAACGCAGCAGGCCAGGGAGGGCGCCGTGGGGTCCCCGTGCCGGAACGAGGGGACAGGGGACCGAGCCTCCCGGAAGGTTAGTGACCGGCCCAAGGTCAACGGCGCGTGCGATGAAGCCGGATCCCGGAGCCCGCCGGTCTGACCCCGGGGCCTGGGCTCCGCTGTGGCCCCAGATGCCCGATGAGCTGCCGCTACCCGGCATCGTCCGCTAACGGTGTTGGTGCCGGGCCGATGCCAGCGGGGCGCCCCAGTTTGGGTGGCTGTGAAGAGGGGACGTTATTCAGTGCGAACAGCCCAGGCGTGAGGCAGCCGACCGGGAGGCGGCCCTGGGCAAGGCCCCCTTCCGGCTGCGCGGCTCCGGCCTGCAGTCCACTCTGCTGTCTCCCTGCCCAGGTCCAGTCCGCTGAGCCGTCTTCCGCGTTTCCGCTCCAACCCGGGCACAAGGGCCGCCGGCCCAAGGGGAAAGCGCCTTGGGGGGCCAGCGGGAGCTGCCTTTCTAGAGAGAAGTCCCTGCCCCCGGCCCTGATTGGTCCATCCTCATGCAAACGAGTACTCCAAATCGTCACCGTTTGATTGGACCAAGAGGGACTGTCCTCATTGGTCAGAACGGAGCCACTCAGCTGGTGGGTGAAGGTGCTGATGAGGATACGGCTGTGCGTCTCCGCCTGGGGTAGGGGGGAGCCTCCATCCCATTGGCTGAAATACAAGCCCAGGGCCCCTGCGTGGGGCCTGCTAGTGGCAGAACCAGAGCAGGGGCCGAAGGCTGGCCCGCGGCCTCCCCCTGCGACACGGCCTGGCGGGGACGGCGGCCGGACACCGGCTACGGATCTGCGCCCGGGCGACCGCAAGGAGCCCTTCTTGGAGGATGAACACACTTCTCCTCAAGGTGCACAAGCGTCGCTGGTCTTGAAATCCCGACCTTTCGCCTGCGAGTGGCCGAGCCTTCCCAGCAGCCCCGGGAAAGGCCCCGCCCCTGCCTGTGATTCGGGCGTGTGCTCTGCTCCCCCCCACGCCCAGCCCCCTGCTGGAGCGGTGGCCGACCCCGTCTTCCCGTTGAGTGTCCAGCACCGAGCGCACCGCCTTCAGTGTGCCAGCGTTCTCCGCCTCATGGAACTGGAAACTGTGTTCTCTGGGCGTTTTTACCCCATGTAGTTCCAGAGGAGGTTTGACAGCTCCGCCGGGTGTGGGTGACATTTTCAGAAGCCCAGGCACCCAGCCCTTGGAGTTTTGCCCATAAACTGGAATAAACACACACACGCACACACACGCACACACACTCAAACACACACACTAAAATTAGAGGTCTGTCTGGAGAAAGTCCAGCCGTTGTTAATGTAATGAGAACGTTTTGCACGACATCGATATGACCGGGCAGCCAGGGAGGGTGGACCGGGATACTCACGAGTGAACAATGACAACTTCACTGTACTCGTCAGTGGGGGCGGTCGGTGCCGCTGCGTCTCTGCCCCGTGTGGCCGTCACATTCACAATGACTGAGTAGATCAACAAATCTGCACCCGGTTCTGCGTTACGCTCGAACGTTCCTCCGCAGAAACTGGTGGGATGACTCAGGAGGCCGCGGCCGCGGGCGGCGGGGGGTCGGCAGCTTCCTCACGACAACGCACAGCTCACGCATCGCGGCTCCTGTGGAGTTTTTTGGCAAAACATCAAGTCACCCGGGTGACTCAGCCCCCCTGGAGCCCAGACGTGGAGCCTCGCAACTTCTGGCTTTTCCCCAAACTAAAGTCAGCTTTGAAAGGGAAGAGATTTCAGACTCTGGACGAGATTCAGGAAAATACGACGGGGCAGCTGATGGCCATGGGGAGACCTGGGTGAGGTCCCCAGGGGCCTGCTTGGAACGGGACGGAGGCGTCCTTGTCCTGGGTACATTGTTAAGTATCTTGTATCTTCAGTAAGTGTCTCTACTTTTCATATTACACAGCCAGATACCTTCTGGACAGACCTTGTCTATTGATAAGAGTTGTTATACGTCCATCGACTGCGATAGATTATTTGAGCTGAAATCTCTTTAGTTCAGATGATCACAACCCTACGCTTTAGCAGAAGAGGCAGGTGCTTAAATTTCTCGAGGGCCCGAACTGATACCTCTCACGCCTTTGAAGGGGTCCAGCTCTGCCAGTGTTGCCAGGGTGACCGCTGCCCGCGAAGGCACCCTGCCCTTCCTCCATCTCACGGCGGGGCTACCAGGAGGGATTACGGTAACAGAATCTCCGTGCAGAGAGCGGGCACCGTCCTGAAAATCTCTAGTGACAGAGACCCCAGGCTTGTCACCCACCCGGGGACCGCGAGAGCTGCCCCGTCAATGACCGCTTGGTCTCGGCAGCAGCGTCCCCCACGGGGACAGGGCGTCAAGGGGTCACGGCGGGGCCCTGTCCTTGCAGGGTTCCGCGCCGCCCTCAGCGGGAGGGGGGCCAGGCTGGGGCGCCGCACCCAGAGCGCAGAGCCGCGGGCCGCGCGTGTCCGTCGGGGCGGGGGCTGCCGGGCGCCCGCCCCCCCGCCCCGGTCTCCCTCCGCCCCCGCCCGCGCGCTCCGCGCCTCCCGCCCCGCGCGCCGCCCCCGCCCCGCGCGCTGTCACTGGCTGCACCTCCGCGGCCGCACAATAGAGGCCCCGCCCTCGCCCCGCCAGCGCCGGGCTGCGTCCGCGCCAGCAGTCGGCGGTCCGTCCGTGCGCCCCAGGCTCCCGGCCCGCGCCCGGCGACCCCAGGCTCCCCGCTGCCGGCGGCGCGCGCCGTCCGGACCCCTCCCACCCCCGGGGCCGCCGGGCCGCCTCCTGCGTCCCCGCGCCCCGCTCCGCCGGCGCGCAGTCCGGGCTGCCCGCGCCCGGAGGGAGATGACCGGGGGCTCCGGGGCGCGCCCGCCTGCCGCGCTCAGCTGCACCCGGCTGGGGAAGGCGCTCTGAGAGGCCCCTGCGGGCTCCAGCCGAGGGACCCCCTCGCCTCCGTCGCTCCCGGCCCGGTCCCCGACACTGCCCCGGGCGGCCGAGCCCCTTCGCATCGCCCCCATGGCCCGGCCTCTGCCGCTGGTCCTGTGCCTGGCTCTGGGTGTGGCCGCGGGCTGCGTGTCCGGCGCTGCCCCCGCGGGCACCGGCGAGCCCCCGCGCGCCCAGACGGCGGCCCCCACGGAGGCCGAGGTCCTGCAGAACGAGGCGGACAACCAGGAGAACGTCTTGTCTCAGGTAGGTCCCGCGCCACCTGCCTGCCCCGTGAGGGCGTCTGCTTCCCACGGGTCAGAATATTTTCCCGGGGCAGGGATGCGGGTTGTCCCAGGAGACCAAACGCGGAGGAAGGAGGGGAAACCATCGACCCACTTGGTTTGGGGCTGGGGACAGCAGGGCCGCCTCTGGTCTGCGTGGCTGTCTGGCTAGGAATGTGCGTCCAGATGGACGTTGGGCAGTCGGACGGCGGGTCCCGTGGGGAGGGGCGTTGTGGCGGCAGCGAGACACCCGGGAGAAGTCGGGGCGACCGGACAGCAACGCGCGCGGCCCCCCCAGAGAGGGGCCCGCCCAGAGCGGCGCGTGGCGTGGACCCCCCGGGGCCTGCAGGTGGCGGGCAGGGTGGAGGGTGCAGGCAGCGAGGGACAGCTGGCAGCTCTGTGAGGTGTCCCTTTACAGAGGCTTCCCTTGTTCTCTGGCCCGGCCCTCACGCCCGGTCCCTGGTCCGCAGCGGAGGGCCGTCCCGCCCGGACGGTTAGGGCCGGGCCGGGCCGGGCAGCAGCGGGGTTTCCGCCGTCCCCCCAGACGCCTCCACCGTCAGGGACCGCTCCCTGGGCTGTTTATCGCACGCTCCCCCGGGCTGGCGCGCTGACGCACGGGGGGTGTCGCCGTGACCTAAGCAGGGGGTGGCAGAGAAAGGGCCGGTGGCGGGGAGCTGTGGGCACCTCCACCCGCCCTGGCGCCGGGCCCCCGGGCCTTCCCTCCGTGGTGTTGCTAACGTGTCCCACACCGTCCCCCACGCTCGCACCGACCCCTAAATGGAAAAGCAGATGCCTCACGTTGGGGCTCTGCAGACCCATCAGCAAACTCTTCCTGAAAGCCGGGCCTCCGGAAGGCGGGGCCCCCGTGGGGTCTCGGCGCAGGCGGGGGTGCGGGGGGGCGGGGCCTGGGCAGAGTCTCAGAGGGCGGCGGTGGCGGCGGGTGGGCGGGCGGCCCCCCCGTGCCAGGCACCCCGAACCGCCCCCCCTCGTCCACGGAGCCATTGTGTGTCTGACCACAGACCTCAAGTAACAGTCAAAGAAACCATCCTTTGCAAGAAAAACATGGCAGGCCTTGTTCCCCAGCGTCCCAGGACCGTTTCTGCAGCAACAAGCTCGTGACCTGCCAGCCGGGTCACGGGCCACACGGAGGGACCCGTCCCTGTGCCCAGGAAGGGAGCCTGGCTTTGGGGGCGCGGGGCCTGCCCGGGGAGCGGGGAGGACCCTGTGCCCCGCGTGCACCCGCAGCGCAGGGGGGCGGGGGCCGCGCTTCGAGGAACGGCTGGCGCCGTGGACGCAGCCAGGGCTGCCCGTTCGCATTCCTACCTTTGGCCGGGAGTTTGGGTTCAGAAACTGCTCCGGGAGCCAAAGGAGCCATGCGGCTGAGCCACCCTTGCTGACTCCTCCACCCGGGCCCTCTCTCCACCGTAACCTGCCCTCCAAGGCCCCCGTCTACCCCCATCGCCTCCGGGAAGCCTTCCTGGTGCCCGGCGGGGGTGCCAGGCACACGCGGCGCACGTCTCTGCTTGCTGGGCCTTTCCCTCCCTCCTGCACGGTGGTCCTTCAGGGCGGCCCTGCCCCGGCCCCTCCCCTCGCCTCTGGGCACCCAGAGCGGTCCCAGGCGGCGCTCCGTCAGGGCGGATGGGGCGCGGGCCGGGGAGGAAGCGGTCCTCAAGTCCGAGCGTCGGCGGGCCAGCCCCCTGTCTGGCCCCCTGTCCGGCCCTCTGTCCGTGTGCCTCCTTTCGGCTGCACCTGGCGCTGACTTGGGCCAGGACGGTCGGAAGGATGATGGGCTCCGTTTGTTTTTTCCTCAGAACGACGGAAGGCCCGAGGCCCCTGAGAAAAAGGCGCAGCTTCCCAGGAGGGGGCAGCGCGCGGGGCGACCTTGACCTCGAGGGCCGTCCGCGCCACCGTCAGGGTCACCTGGGGCCTCGGGCCACGCGGGCGGGGAGCCTTCTGCCGTGGCCTGTGCGCGGCCCTGCCACCCTCCCCTCGGTCTGTCTGTCTGTCTCTCTAGTTGCTGGGAGACTATGACAAGGTCAAGGCCGTGTCTGAGGGCTCCAACTGCCAGTGCAAGTGCGTGGTGAGGCCCATGGGCCAGGACGCCTGCCGGAGGGCCCACGCGGGGGCCCCCAGGCCCGACGACTTCTACACGGTGGAGACCATCACCTCCGGCCCCGCCTGCAAGTGTGCCTGCGTGGCGCCGCCCTCCGCCCTCAACCCCTGCGAGGGGGACTTCAGGCTCCAGAAGCTCCGGGAGGCAGACAGCCGGGACCTGAAGGTGGGACCTGCGCGGGGGCGGGGGCCGCGGGGGGGAGGCGGGGGCGCCCGAGGGACCCTGGAGCCTGACCAGCCTGGGGCGTCGGCCTCGGAGCGAGCGGCCTGGGCTGCGGCCTCACGGACCGGCCGCGCACGGCCCCGCGTGCAGGGGAGGTGCCGGGGCCAAGCATGCCCGCCTTCCCGACGGAGCCAGGGAGACCGGGCCCCGGGGGCAGCTGCCAGGCCCAGTGGCCAAACGAACTTGGCGTCCTTCCCTGCGACCGCTGCCACGCGGACGGTCACCAGCACGGCCCCCGAAGAGGCGAGGGACACGCACCCAGGCGTCCCTGGGCGCGCCGGGTGACGCGGGGGAGGGGCCGGCGTCCCGCTGTCCGGCTGTGACCCCGCAGTGCTGGTCCCCGGGGCGGGTTGGGGTCGGACGGACGGCCCGGAGCACGGCCCTGCCGCCGCGGGCCACGTCCCCCGTCTCAGCTGATACGCCGGCCGGGCCCGAGTCCCCCCCGGAAGAGAAGGAAAGGGAATAACAACTCCCTCCCAGGGCCGCTGTTCTGAGAGCCGAGGACAAGCGCCGATTTTGTTGCCGGCACCACACACGGGCATCGCCTTTACCGAGTGACCGTGTGAAGCGCCGCGGGGCCGACGCCTGGCGCGTTCTCGGCCGCTGGTGGTCACCGGTGCCCTGTGGGCGGAGCACCGTCGCGCCGGCCGAGTGGACGGTGAGCGTCCCGGGACGCGGCCGCACCCTTCGGGGGCTACAGTGCTGCCCTGAAACTGCTTCCTGAACCACAGGCACCGTCGCGGGTCCTAGGACAGGGCCTGGGGCTGCTGGGACAGGCAGGCGGGACAGGCCCGCGTCCGCGGCCTCACGCAGGGCGTGCTGACTCCGACCACGGGGCGTCTGTGCACACGGGCTCGCCCCGTAATCGCGAGGCTGGGCGCAGGGCGGGGAGCGGGGACGCGGGCCTGGTCCGCCATCTGTTCCGGGAGTGGCCCCCACGGGAGGCTCCGGGGCGGCCTCTGCCCTCTGCCCCCGCCAGCCCTGCATGCGCCCGGAGCCTCGTCCCCAGGGCTCCGCACCGGCAGGAAGGGCAGCACCGCAGGAACCGAGGAGACGGCGCTGACAGCTCGCCCCCTCGGGGGCGCGGCCCCGGGCTGCCTTCCGCCAGGGCCGCCAGCTTTCCGTGCGAGGGGACCGCGCGGCGTCCCTAGACCTTTGCAGGCCACGAAGGCAAGTTAGGCGCATGTCTGCGAGGTGACGCTTGCGGCCCCTTAGCTGAGTGCCCGTGGGTGCCCGGCTGTGGCCCAGGTGCCCTGCTGACAAAGCTAGGACAAGGCAGGCGCCCCCAACAGAGAACCCCCAGCCCCGCGGGACAGGCAGCTGTGCGTGTGACAGACACATTCCCTGAGAGGAACGAACCGTTTTCCCTGTTCCTGAAGGGTCTTCCATCGGCTTCCCCAGGACTCCAGTGGGCAAACGTGCTTTTGCGGGCGCCCGCGTGGCCGGCCACACCGGCCACCTCTGCGGCCGCGGCGGGGCCTCCCGGCTGGCCCCGGCCTGGGCCTGTCTGCGTGGCTGACCCTGCCCTTGTCCCGCAGCTGGCCACCATCATCGACATGCTGGAAGGGGCGTTCTACGGCCTGGACCTGCTGAAGCTGCATTCGGTCACCACCAAGCTGGTGGGGCGAGTGGACAAGCTGGAGGAGGTAAGGGGGCCCCGGGTCTCCTCGTCTTTCTCCCGGCCGAGCCCCAGGCGCACCCGACCCCCACATCCTGCGTTTGCCGAAGGCCCACTCCCCGACTAGACGAGGCCGTTCCATTCTTTGGCGAGAACCTCTGCGTGAAACCCTCGTCCCCAACTACGCCGCATCGGGGATGAGCAGAGCAGCAGTGAAACGGAACAGGAAGTCCTTCCTTTCCGTGGAGGAGACCCTCAGAGCCTGGGGCTGTGGCCGAGGGCGGGTCCCCCCGACGTGGGCCAGGCCATCCAGAGGCCTGGGCTTCCCGGGGCACCCTGGGGCCGAGGTCCCGCCTCCCAGGTGTCGGCCTGCGCCCCGCGTGGGCCGGATGCCAACAGCTGTCCGCTTGGGAGCGACCGACCGCGGCAGCTGGCGCCCCCCCGCCCCCCAGGCCGGCTGCCCATCTCTGTCACTCAGCTGCGGTCAGAGGGACCGGCCGCGTCCTGCCTGCCCTTTCAGTCTGAGCGCCAGCTGCTGCAGGGGCTGGAGACAGCTGTCCCGGGCCACCGGGGCCCCGCCACGTCCTCCGCGCTGGGCACGGCAGATGGGGCGGCCGGGAACGCCGGCCCCCCGACGGGGTCGTGACCTCACACGCGCGCGTCCCCCCCCACGGGAGCCCGTTCCCCCCGCCGGCCCATGCGCTTCAGCCAGACAGGCCGTGCGCACACCCACCCGCCTCCCCGCTTGGCCTAGCTGCCCCCAGCGAGCTGTCCTCCAGGTGTCCGGGCGCCTCTGCCCAGCACACGGCCCGTGTCCCCACCCTCCCCCTGCCCCGTCCACCCGCACGTCTGCAGCTGAGATCCGGGGCCCCTCCCGCTCCGCCTCACCCGTGGGCGCCGAGCCGCACACGCTGCCTGCTCTCCTCTGCCTTGGCAGGGGCCACGGAGAGCACCCCCGCCAGCGGGCCGGCCCCCGAGCCCAGCTGCGCACCCCGCACGGTCGCGGCCGCACTGTCCGGGAGGGGCTGAGGCGTGAGGCCCCGGGTTCTCCCTCTGTCAGGGCGGGATCGAGAGCGGCCTGTGTCGGGGTGTCTCCTGCACCCCCGAGAAGCGCCCCACCTGAGGCCCTGGGTGTGCGAGACCGGCCGGGGAGCAGACCCGGATGGGGGGGCGGGTGGGGGGCGGCTGACGGGGCCTCCAGCCCTGCGCTGCGCAAACCCAGAACCGGCTCCTCGCTGGCCGGGCGCGGGGACCGACGACGGTTCATCGGTGACGGGGGGCCTCCGGGGGGCTGGCGACGCCACGATGTGGGGCCCCGTGCGGGCACACGGCCAGCGCCGCCGCGCGAGCTGCTCGGGAGCCAGGGGACCTCGTCCGGGTGCCAAGGCCACCTAGGGCCAAGCTACGGGTCCCCCCGCGTGGAGCCCTGGCTGCGCTGGCTGCAGACTTGGACACACCTCAGTGCCCCCCCGACACACAGTCACTGGCCGCGGCCCCACGTCGCCCTGGCTCGCTCGGGCGCTTGTCCCGTGTGCGCATGGACGCCCGGGGGTCCATCCCCTGCGTTTTGCACCCTTGTCCTTGTGGAGGGGTCGTCCCAGAGGGGGTCCCTGTGCGCCTGGCCCCTTAACTAAAAGCGTCAGTGACGAAGTGGCACGCCCAGCCTGTCCCCGCGGGGCTCCTAGGAGGCGAGTCCCAGGCGCGCGGCCCGGATCGGCAGGGACCCGCCGGGACCCAGACCGCGAGCCCCCAGCAGCTGCACCCCCCGCGTCCGGGCACAGTCCCGCCCCGTACGCAGGTCGCCTGCGCGCGTGGGCCGCGGGCCCGATCCCGGGGTGGGTGGGGCCTCACTCGCCCGCCAGCCCCCGGCGGGACGGGCGACGCCTGCAGTGGCCTCTGGGCCACGCGCGCGCAGCGACCCCCTGCGGAAACTCAGCCCCTCGTGCGTCCGCCCCGTGAGCGCGTTTGCCCCTCGTGAAACCGCCCCCAGGGAGGTGATGGTGTCCCGTCCCCCGTGCGCACGGGTCCAGCGAGAGCGGCCGCGGGTGGAGCTGGACGGCTGCCTCCGGAACCCACGCTCGCAGCCCCGCACGCGGCCGCCCGCCCGCCCGCCCGGAGCCCTGGCCCTGGGCGCCCTTCCCGGGCCTCTGTTGTCGCGGCGCCTCGCGGAGCGCACGGCACCGTCCAGTGGGCAGCTCTGCACGGGCTCCCGCAGCCTCTGTGTCTGGGTGTTGCCGGCGGCCTGGGCTCAGGGTCCCCTCGGGACGCGGCAGCATCATGGGCTGCCCTTGTCCGTCTGTTAACAAAGATGGGAAGCAGGTGTCCCCTGTGCCTCACCTGCTGGCTGCCTCCGTGCCCACCTGAGCACCGCGCCTGAGCACCCAGACGCTCGAGGAGCCCGTAGAGCGGGGCCGGAGGGGACCGCGTCGGCCTCAGAGCCTGGCGCATCGCCGAGCTGCGGGGGAGGGCACCTGCGGTGCCGCCCGCACGGGGCTCACCTTCCCCAGCCGCTGCCCCTGCTGCCCGGCCGGGCCCTCCCCGCTGCGCCCTGGGGCCTCCCAGGCGCCGCCCACAGGGCCCGGGACCCGTCTGGTGGGTCTCTGAGCAGAAGAGGCCCGCGGCTGCCTACTGCTTGTCTCCAGAGCACGTTAAGGAACCTTCTTTTTAAATGTTTTTCCAGGAAGTTTCTAAAAACCTCACCAAGGAAAACGAGCAAATCAAAGAGAACGTGGAAGGGATCCGAGCTGAGATGAGCAAGCGGGGCCGAGGGAACTGCTCCCAGGACGTGGCGCACAGCCTCCCGGACGTGCGCTCCGCCCTGCAGAGGGACGCGGCGGCTGCCTACACGCACCCCGAGGTACGGCGCCAGCCCCGGCCTGCGCCCCTGTACCTGCTGCCGCCGTCCGGCTCGGCTCGTCGCCCTCACGGGCGTGGCCGTGGCGGGGCGCGGGGGGCCCCACCTCACTCAGCTCGAGGCCCGGGGAGGCCCGGCGAGCCAGGCCGCGGTCGTTCTGCTCAGCGGGAAGGGGTGGCGGGGTCTCGCGCCTCTGTCCCTGCCTGCCCAGCTGTGCCCCGGCACAACGTCCCCCGCGCATGTGATCTGAGTGACGCCCCGAGACCCACTTGCTTCAAAGTTCCTCCCCGTTTGGGGCCTGTTGGTTTTGGCTCCAGTGACGGAGTCACATTCGTGTGCTGGTGGTTAAATGTGACCATTTAGGTGTTCCATTGTCCCCTCACTGGGTGCCCAAGACACCAGTAGTAACTGGGGAGCTAACCCGAGAGGCGGGGGGACGGGGAAGGAGCAGGGACACCGGCAGGGCGGCGGGTCAGCCGGTCAGCGCCGGGGAGGCGCCGGCCCCCGGAAGTGGCCGTGCCTGCCGTCTCTCTGACTTCCCTGCCACCCGGGTCACTGAGCACGGGGCCCGGCAGGAAGTCGGCCCGGCCCGGGGGCCCGGGGGGCCGGGGGGCCGGGTGGGCAGCGCTGCCGCGGTCCCGGGTGTCGGGCACGCGGGCTCCGAGGGCAGGACAGCAGGCAGGTCAGCCTCGAGGGCCGTGGGGACCCAGCCTGGCCTTACAAAGCCAGTTGCGAGCCAGAGAGTGAGCGCAGGCCGGCCTCGGGCTGCGGCCCTGCCCGCGATGACTGTGTCGGTGCTTTCTGGAGGGGTCGTGTTCCGCCAGGGATTACGCTCACGCCCCTCTCGGGGTGTCCCTGGGTCTGCGGCCCCAGAGCAGGGCTGAGCTCGGGAGCCGCAGAGCCCAGGCCCTCGGGCCGGAAGGGAACCCGGCGGCACCACCGCGGCCCAGCCGGCGCCCTCCACGCCCCCCCCCGCCCCCGCCCCCCGCCAGCTGCCCAGGGTCCCCGGCGGCCAAGCTGGGAGTAGTCGCCGTTGTCTCGATGACATGTTATGTGGTGTGTTCAGGAACCCGCTCCGGTTTCCTGAGGGCAAACAGCAAACCAAATCAAACACACCAGACTTTTCTCCTAGCTCAGCAAAGCCCTGTCCCCTCGGAGGTCCCCAGCCGTCACCCTGCTGAAGTCAGCACAACCCGCCCAAACGGGCGGTGGGGACACAGGCCGGGCCCGGGGAGGGGAGGGGGCCGGCCTCCCCCTCGTCCCCGTCCCCGTCCCCGTCCCCCAGCGAGCCCCACGCTGCCGGGCGCCTGGCCCCCGCTCTCAGGGTTCTTGCAGAGGATGTCGCGGGTTCTCCGAGTGGGGGGTGACGGAGCTGGGGGCCTCTCTCCAAGCAGGTCTTTGCCTGAGGGCTCTGGGCGCAGGCTGGGAGCGGGCACAGCTGTACGCCAGCAGTGGGAGTCAGACAGCAGAGCCGGAGGAGCGGGCGGGGGGGGCAGCGCTCCGTGGGGCTGCTGCCATGCCAGGCAGCCTGTCGCCAGGAATCCGGGGAAATTACACGCTCCCTGGCTGGGCCTGCTGAGCTCTTGCTCCATCCCCTTGGCTCCGCGGAGGAGCCGCGGCCCCGCCCTAACGGAGAGCCCAGCGGGAGGCAGCCTCCGGGGCTCGCGGGAGGGAGGAAACGACTACAGGCTCCAGCGATGCAGAGGGACACCCCGCGGCGCCCAGCTGGCCCGCGGCGCCCGAGTCGAGGGCTGCGGCCTCTGGCCTGCCCTGCTGGCGGCTCTGTCCAGTGGGAAATGGGGGGTCCCCAGGCCCACGGGGCCCCAGGGGATGTGGACGAGGTCCAGGAGTGGCTTCCCACGGGGAGGGGCGCAGGCCCCGGGCCGGCCGAGAAGCCGCGTGACAACCAGCGACCCGAGCGCCCAGGACGCTGAGGCTCTGCCTTCCTCTGTGAGGTGCGGAGGGCGCTACGGCCTGGCTCGGGCCGGAGGACCCGTCGACCCAAATAGGTGCTCACTCAACGGGACGTGGGGGCGGGGCCCGCTGTCAGGCGCACGTGGGCGGGTGCGTGGGCCGTGCCACCGGGACTCGGCCTTCCCGGTGCCGTCCCGGTGCCGGCTGCTCCCGTCGCGGGGAGCCCAGTGCAGACCTCGGTGCGGGGGGTGGGGACCAGGACCCCGCGTTTCCTCCAGGCTCAATTTTAAAGGTCAGCCCGAGGGCCCGAGGTGCTCCTTCCTGTGCGGTGGGAGGAGGTTGGCCACAGGGCGGGGTGGGCCCCCCCCCGCTGGCCAGCTCCGCGGGCCCCCCAAGGGGCTGCTCGCCCCCAGGGCTCCAGGTGTCTGGGGACGGAGCTCTGCTCTGCGCTCGGGGTGGGCTTCAGCGCCGTCGGCAGTGGCGGGGCTCAGAGCGCCGCGTCCTCCTGGAGGGAGGGGCCCGTCGGGCCGTCAGGGGCTGGGCCCTGGGCGGCCTTGACATTGAGCGCAGCGGCTCCCGGACTCTGCTTCGGAGCCCCTGGTGCCTCGGTTTCCCAGTCTGTCAGTGGGGGCAATGAAGCAAGTTCCTTCGTCCCCGGAGCCTCGAGGAGGTTCCACGGGTCACGGCTGGGCCGCACCCAGGGCCTGCCCAGCCTTGAGACACGCCCTCGGAAGGGTCCCCATCGCGGCATGGCCGGGGCCCGGCACGGCCCCCGACGTGACCCGACCCCGTGTGTCCTCTCCGAGGAACAGTACGAGGAGACGTTCCTGCGGGAGGAGACCCTGTCCCAGCACGTCAACTCCGTGGAGCCCCCGCGGGTGCGGCCGCTGGCCCCGCCTGAGCTGGGGAGGCCGCAGCGGCCGCTGCAGAGGCGGGTGCTCCTGCGGGGCCGGCTGGCCTCCAGGCCCACCATCATCCGGGGCGTCACCTACTACAAAGCCCAGGACCCTGAGGACGAGAACGACATAGAGGAGCAGCGTGAGTGGGGGCCGGGGCGTGGGGGGCGGGGGGCGCGGGTGTCCGCAGGCTGGCCGTCCCCCCCAAGTCCCCGCGGCCACAGCTCCCTGTGCTGCTGCTGGGCCCGCGCGGGCCACCAGGTGTCCCTGGGCTCGCGGGGGCGACTCCCGCGCCCGCCGCCCGCGCCCTCGCCCGCCGCCCGTTCCCGGCAGACGCTGGCCGGCCCTCCTCGCTCTCGTTCCCTGACCTCTGCCCCTCCCTTCCCAGCAGCCCGCAGGCCCAGCCCCAGCTCACCCAGGCGCTGCCGTCACCATTTTTGCCCATTTTTAACTGTTTGTCGTCTTTTTCAAATCCCTGAGTGCCCTGTCCGTCACGGAACTGACTTCCTCCCGGTGGCCCGCGTCCCCGGGGTGAAGCCCACGCGGGACCTCCTCCCCTTTCTCCGAGGCCCCCCCCAGGGCTCTCCCCACGAGGCAGGTGGGCGTCCTCTTGGGGACGAGGCCCGCTCGGCCGACGGCCGCCCCTCCCCCGCCCACACGGCCTGTTTCCCTCCCAGAGGACGAGCTGGCCAGCGGGGACGGCGGCGTGGACCTGCTGATCGAGGACCAGCTGCTGAGACACGACGGCCTGCTGGCCAGCTCGCCCCACAAGGCCGCCGCCCCGGCCCCTGCACAGCCGCAGGCCTCCCCGGCGGCGCCCAGCGTCCCCAACCCCACCGCCGCTGCCGCCACCGCCACCGGGCCGACGTCCGCGTGGGGGCCGGCCACGCCCGTGGCTGCGGACCCCCTGGGGGAGGCGGGCCTCGCACCTTCCACTCAGGCCCCGCCCCCCACCACCCCCCACGCGGCCACCCAGCCCCCTGTGACCCCGGCGGCTCCGCCCGAGGCTCCTGGGGACTCATTCCTGGGGACCACGCACTTGGCCCCAGTGCCTCCCACCGCGGTCGGGACAGACCCGCTGGGGAAGGAAGCCGCCGCCGGGCAGGGCACAGCGCCCGCCAGCCCCACCCCGAACCCGGACGAGGCCGACGACATCCGGAACGTCATAGGTGCGTTCGCGCCCCTGGCCTGGTCTCCCGGTCCGCTCAGGGCAACGGCGGGGCCTGGGCACAGGCTGCGGCCAGCGGTCCGGCTCCGTCCTCAGGAAGGGCGCGCGGTGTCGTGGCGCCTTGCCCGGCGACCCGTTAAACACCTGGGCTGGGGAGTCCAAGGAGGACGCCCTGTCCGACGCGCGGGGGAACCCACGGGGCCCCCTGTGCCGGGTGCGGTGCTGGGGAGCGCACACAGGCCTCGGCGGCAGGGGTCCCTCCGCCGAGGCCGCTCCCTCCGCCCCCGCCGCCGCCCGGCTTCAGCCGGGCCCAGCAGGCGAGGCTGACTGGGTGACGCCCCCCAGGAACGGCGGGCGGGCGGGGGCGCGGCCTCCCGGCGGCGACAGGGCCTGGGTCTGCAGACGCCGAGCGGGGGGCACGGATCCTGGGGATGGGTCTGAGGGTCGAGGCGTCAAGGCCGCTGCGGGGGAAGCGTTGTCTTGCCAGTAACCCAAGACGTGGGGGCGGGGGCGGGGGCGGCAAGAGCAGGGGCAGGAGCGAGGCTGAGACGCGCCCACGTCCAGCGACTCGGGACCGGACCGGCCAAGGCGTCCAGGCTCCGGGGGGGACTGGCCGAAGGCTTGGGGGGCTTTCTCCCATCGGCCCAGTCCTCTCCTCCTCCTTCAGGGAGGTGCAAGGACACCCTGTCCACCATCACGGGGCCCACCACCCAGAACACGTACGGGCGGAACGAGGGGGCCTGGATGAAGGACCCGCTGGCTGGCGACGAGCGGATCTACGTGACCAACTACTACTACGGCAACACGCTGGTGGAGTTCCGGAACCTGGAGAGCTTCAAGCAGGGTGCGTGCAGCCCGCGGGCTCGCCCTTCCCTCGGGGCTCTGCCGCCGCGCCGGCTCCGGCATGCCCCCTGGCGGGCATGGGCTTCCAGGGAGCAGGGCGCCCCCACCCGCAGCTCTGCCTCCTTCCGGCCCGGGGACGACGGCCGGCCTGGAGCCGGGGCCTCCTTTCCGGTGGCCCCAACAGCTGGCCACCACGGTCACGCGGGGCAGCGCCCGGGTCCCTGAGGCAAGGGGCGCAGGTCACGTCTGAGGGACCCGTGAGGGTGCCGGGGTCTGCGAGGCTGAGTGATTTGCTAGGAAAAGGAGGAGGGGGCCGGGCAAACCTGGGCGCCGGCCCCGGCCCCGCTGAGCCCGCCCTGTCGCCCGCAGGCCGCTGGAGCAACTCCTACAAGCTGCCCTACAGCTGGGTGGGCACGGGCCACGTCGTGTACGGGGGCGCCTTCTACTACAGCCGCGCCTTCACCCGCAACCTCATCAAGTACGACCTGCGCCGCCGCTACGTGGCCGCCTGGGCCATGCTGCACGACGTGGCCTACGAGGAGGCCACGCCCTGGAGCTGGCAGGGCCGCTCGGACGTGGACTTCGCCGTGGACGAGAACGGGCTGTGGCTCATCTACCCGGCCCTGGACGACGAGGGCTTCGGCCAGGAGGTGATCATGCTGAGCAAGCTCAACGCCGCAGACCTGAGCACGCGGAAGGAGACCACGTGGCGCACGGGGCTCCGCCGGCACCTGTACGGCAACTGCTTTGTCATCTGTGGGGTGCTCTATGCCGTGGACAGCCACGACCAGCGCAACGCCAACATCTCCTACGCCTTTGACACGCACACCAACACGCAGACCGTGCCGCGGCTGCTGTTCGAGAACGAGTACTCCTACACCACGCAGGTGGACTACAACCCCAAGGACCGGCTGCTCTACGCCTGGGACAACGGCCACCAGGTCACCTACCACGTCATCTTCGCCTACTGAGCCCCGGCCCGCGCAGGCTGGCCAGGGCCGCGGCCCCTTGCGTGTGCGTGCGCGGGCGTGTGCATGGGCGTGGGCGTGTGCGTGTGCATGCGTGCGTGTGTGCAGATGGGTAAGTGCTTTCCAAAAAATATATATTATTTTGTATAATGTAAAGTGACCGTTTCGGTCTATTTTTTCTATATGGGTCGTGGATCGACCCGTGTGTGTATGTGCTGGTCTCACCCCCCACGGTTTACATGGCTGTGCAAACGCCCTTCTCCTCTGACCAGTGACCACCTGCCTTCCTGCCTCCGCCCCGCCCGCGCCCGGGCCCGCACGTGGCCTCGCGGCCGCGGGTCCCACGCGGGAGCGGAGGCGGCCGGGAAGGAGTGCTAAGGGGCAGGAAGAAGTATGTGCTGGAGAAGTTTTAAAATCCCAGAAGATGCTTTTTTAATAAAGAAGGAATTTAAAACGAGCCCCCACGCGTTTCTGTTTCCTGATGTTGTCTGTCCGGGGCTGGGCCCCTCACCGGGCGGAGGCACCTGGACCCTCCCGGGTCCCCCCTCGTGTGGCCCGGAGCGCGGCACTGCCGAAACGCAGAGCTGCTGATGCGACCTGCTCCTGCGCCTCCGTCGTCAGCCTGTCCCCAAGTCCTCGCCTCATCCTGGCCACTGTCACCCAGCCAGGCTCTCCTCCCCACCACCGCCCTGAGGTAGCCGGCCTGAGACGGGGCGCGAGACCACAGCCCCCAGCGCACGGACGGGGACAGAGGTGGCTCCTGAGGTCATGGGGAGACAAGTGTACCGCGCCACCACGCTGTCCCCCGGCCCCTCCCCCACACGTCCTGCAGACCCTCTGCGGAGAGGCTGGGGAGGGGATGTGGTTGCCCCAAGTTCAGCTTCCACGTGACTCTGCGGCGAATCAAGTCTCTGCCTTCACAGCAGCTCTGGGAAGCGGGGATCCACCCATGCCCCCCACCCCGGGGACTGGGCGGTGCCCTTGTCTTGGCCTCTCCCGGTCTTTTTCTTCCCCCCGACCGGTCATCCTGTGTGCACTGTGGCCCCTGGGTTTTGTCTGTTTTCCCGGCTCAAGGCAGAACGGGCACGGCTGCCTGGGACCCCTCGGGAGTCAAGGCTGCGGCGGCGGGAGGCCAATCCGTGTGCACTGCGTTCCTGCGGGACGCACCCCGCCCCCGCCCCCGCCCCCCCAGAGCCGTGTGGGGCTTTCCCCGCAGCGGCCCGACCTGTGCTGAGACACGCTGTGCGCGCCGGCCAGGCTGGGGGCCGGAGGAGGGAGGCTGGCCGGGCTGCCGGTGTCTTCCGGGCGACCTCAGCTGAGCTCTGGCTGGCAGGCAGGCCTGGCTGGGGCACCGGGACGGGCTGGCAGTGCCCCGGGGCTCGAGCGCAGCCAGCAGCCGCGGGCCGGGCTGGTGGGGAGCTGGGGAGCTGCCCGGAGGTGCGCGGCTCGGGCAGCTCGGGCGGAGGTTGGGCTGCGGCACGAGGGGCGGGGGGCCCAGCTCCGCCCTCCAGCCCCCTGAGGAGCGGCCTTTCAGGAGCCCACGTGGCCCTCGCGGACGCTGCTGAGGGGCCGCACGCTCGCAGGGACCTGGACAGTGGGCCCAGGGCCCGCCCACCATCCGCGCCCCTCGGGGCCCTCCAAATACTGCCACCCTGCTCCTCTCTGTCCCTCGTCCCACACGTGGCCCAGCGGGGCGGCCGGTCTGTCCACAGAGCACATGGCTGGGCCACGTCCGGCCCTGGAGGGAGGGCCCTGGGGTGTGTCCCCCCAGGGGGAGTTCGGCAGAACGGGCGCCCAGAGTCCGAGGAGCCTCTCGGGGCTGTTCAAGCCACCGCCGGCCGCGAAGAGGTGCTCTGAGACGCACAACGTTCCGGGGTCCCCTCCCCGGGCGCCGCCTGACTGAGCTCTCCCCCAAGACCATGCTCCAAGGTCTCACCCCGAGTCTGAGCCCACGGCCCACCGGCCGCCCGCAGGCGCTCCTGCCCTGCTCGCCGGCCCCGCCTGGCCGGCCGGCCTGGAGAACATCGGTGTTCCCCTCAGAGTTTGGCCCGGGTGGGCCCAGAGAGGCGGACGGACGAGCTGACCTGGGCCTGCCACCGGAGCTCAGGGCTGGTCACCCAGAGGCCGCGGGGCCCTCCCGACACCTGCTGGAAGCCAGCAGGCTCCAGCGGCCACCTCTCCGCCTGGGACGGACTCTCCCCTCGCAGAGGCCAGCCCAGCTCTCAGTGCCCCCCACCCGCCGCCCCGCTCACCCCACCCGGCCCACCCGCTAGGAGGGCCAGGCTCCCGCGTGTGGGCCAGGGCGGACAGGACCCTCACAGGTGCCTGCGGGGACAGCGGCCCCGCCCACGCTGCTCTGCAGGACGCAGGCCCCGACCCCCGTCCCGACGGCTCCAGCTTCTCGCCTCTTCCCTGGGGACCGCGGGCCAGCACTGGCGTCAGCCCTCGGCCCATCGACTGGTTCCCGCGCGAGGCCCGGCCAGGCCTGGGGCACGTTCCCACAGGAAACCGCGGGCTGGAAACTCGAGGGAGCACCGCGGCCGCTGGCCAGACACGCAGGGGCGGGGCGCGGCTGAGCGTCCTGGAGCCGTGGGCCGGCGTCCGCGGCCGGCCGAGCGCCAGGTGCCTCCTGAGCTGCGGCCGCACCTCGACCCTCCGGGGAAAGCAGCTCAGATGGCAGAGCGGGGCAGAGGCCGGGGAGCGGGGGGTTGGTGCCCGAACTCCCTGGGGCCCTGCGCCGTCTCCCAGGGACGAGCGGCCCCGCCCGCCTGCCCGAGGAACTGAGCTCCTGCCGCAGACGCGCGGCCCGCCCGGCGGGTGGTGGGTCCTGAGCACCTGAGGCTACGCCAGGCGCTGGGAGCAGAGCAGTAGGAGCTCAGGGCCCAGGAGGCCCCTGTCTGTTTCCGGGATGCAGTGGGGACGCTGCCCCAAGGGAAGCTGCCAGGGGACATGCCAGCCCGGGCTGGTGCGGCTGCGGGGGGGGGGGGGGGGCGCTGCAGCATCGCGTCGTTTGCTGCGCCCCCTCGGCCGCCCGCCCTCCCCTCTGGCACTGCTCGTCCACCTTCACGTTCTTCCCTCTCTGCCAGGGGCAGAGGCCTGGGAGCCAATCCCGGGCCTGTTTGGGCCGGGCCACCCCTCCCCCTCCCCGCCTGCCCGCCCTCCCCTCCCCCCTCCCTCTCCTTCCAAGAAAATGCCATCGCACAGAGCGCTCCACTTTCACAGCCCCGGCTCTGACACCGCACAGGAATGTCTGACTTCACCCCGCCAGCCCAGCGAGCGCGTCCGCCCGCGCGCCCCCGCCGCGGCCCCGCCCCCGCCCCGGCCCGGCCGCCACGATCCAAACACAGCTTTTCTTGTCCCCAGACCCTGCTCTGCCCTGACCTCTGGAGACACAGGGACACCAGCTCAGCCTGGGCCTCCAAAGACAGCTTCTCGGTGCCGTTGGAATCGCCGGGGTGGGGCCGAAAGGCCCAGGGTGGGGTCGCCCCGACCGGGAGCCCCGAGAGTGGGGGGGCGGGGGGGGGCAGGTGGCAGCGTTTTGACAGCCGCCCCCGCCCCCGCCCCAGGTGGGTCCAACAGGCAGCAGCATCTGGGAGCCACAGACACGCGCGGCTGGAGTGGGTTTGAGCCCGCAGCCCCTGGGCGGGGGGCCAGGGCAGGGGCAGGTCCCCAGCAGGGCAAGTGCCGCCTCCTCTGGGCCCCTGGACAAGGGCGGGGAGCCCGGGGCCACCTGCTCCATGAGGGCCGACGGGGCCCCGGGGACCCCGAGGCGGTGGATGGCCGCCGGTGCCCGGCCTCCGTGCGGCGTGGCCCTGGCTGTGGGTGCCCGCCCCTCCTGGTGCCCTCAGCGGGGCGCCCCCAGCCTGCGCAGCGGGGTTCCCTTGAAGGCCCGCGGGCTTTAGAGAGGGAGGCACAGGCCCAGCGGCGCCCCCAGGCCCCGGCCCAGCCCCTGGCTGATGCCGTGGGTGCTTCTCACACTCGCCTCAGGCCGACGTGAGGGCCCTTGGTCGGGCCAGAGAACTCAAAGTTCTAGAAAGTTCCAGGTGCCACCGCACCTGCAGTCCCACCGGCCCAGGGCCCCTGCGGCTGCACCGGCACGTTGCCAGGCCACGTGGGAGGGACCAGCCACGGGGCCATCCCCCATGCCCCGCGGTCCCGCCTCGGCACTGGGCAGCCTGCCCGTGGACGTGCGTGTGCGGACGAGGCCGGCACGTGCCACCCGGACAGATGCCTGGAAAGACAATGTCTGTCTGCGGCTTTCCAAACGCTCGACGATCCAACTCAACAGAAAACACCCCTTTAGCCTGAGATGCCCGGAGAGCACATTCTGAGCGCAGGGTCAGCTCCCTACTACGGACGCAACCATCGGGCAAGACGCCGGCCGGTCACTGCCCAGCAGGGGTGTCAGACATGGAACGAGCCCCGGCAGACGCGAGGGCCTGGGCCGGGGGCGAGGCGCTGCTCTGGGAGCAAACAAAGCCCAGCCTTCGGGGCTGTTCCCTCCCGGGTCCCCACATGCCGCGCCCCTGTGCCTGACTGTGGGTCTCGGGGGAGGGGTGTGAGCCCACGAACCACCAGCTGAGGTCGCCGGAAAGGGGACCCTTCGGGACAGTGGAAGCCACAGGTCAAGTGTTCCCACCTGTTTCCCGCCTGCACCGCGGAGAGTGAGTCCCCAGGCCCCGGCAGAGCACAGGCGGGAAGGGCGGCTGCGGGTGCCGCTCCCCGTGGTCCTCGAGGCTGCCGGGCTGGAGGGCAACGCGGGGGTCTGACGTGAACACGTCACAAGCAGGAGAGGATCCCGGCACCTCCGAGAACGAGAGACAAGGTGGGGGAACTCGCTGTTTGTGTTGCGACCAGCAGCCACGCGCGTGGACGAGCCCCGTGGCTGAGGCAGACGCGGGCTGCGGCAGACGCGGGCTGCGGCTCTTCCCGCCGGAGCACCCCCGGGAGCTGCAGGGCCGACGGCAGTCCCGGCGCAGGCTGGGTCGTCCCCGCCGCTGAGCCGTGGGGGCGCAGACGCACAGAGGGCTGCCAGGCTGCTGAGGCCTGCGGGGCTGAGCCGGTAAGGCCGGGGCAGGTGCGCTGTGGCCGTGGAGCCACCCACAGGAAGCTCAGGTGCAGTCCCGCGGCCACGACCCGCAGGCGCCGACAGCCTTCTGCGCGTGGCAGTCCCGGCCCTGGAGAGACCCTCCGGGACCCTCGCATGTGCCGGAACCATATCTCACGTGCGGCGGGAAGCCCCACTGGGCAGAGCTGTGGGTGCTGGCGGCCGCCAGGCGAGTCCGAGGTCCCGCTTCCCTCCGGTGGCTGCGTTGGCTCTTCAGTTCACGAGGTGTTGCGCTTTTTTGTCTTCATGCCGAGCCCCACTCCCGCGCCTTCGGCCCCCAAGACAGCAGACGCGAAGCCGGTGCTGAAGACCCGGGGTGACGAGGAGAACCCACCCTCCACGGCCTGCTCGTCTGGGCCTGGCTTCTGGAGATTCACGTCCGCAGGTGGGACGCTGTGGTGCTGCCCCTCGGCAGCCCCGTGACCATCTTGGGAAGCAGCTGTGTGTGTGGGGGGGGCGGGCGGCAGCAACCACGGTTAACGCGCCTGGAGCCGCGTCGGCCCGGCCTCGCCGGGGAGGGGCCGCAGTCCCCCGGGGAGGGTTGGGCGCAGGACCCCAGGTGGGTGTCCTCCGCGGCTGGACTGCAGCTCGGGACGCAACGGAGGCGGCCTCGGCCCCGCCGGGCGGGGAGAGCGCAGGACGTCCCCCTGAACAGCAGCAACCGTCTCCCCCAACGGTAATCGCTCAGCAGGGAACGCTCATTTTGACCCTTTTTTTCCTTACACAGAACAAAGTTTAAAAATTCTTTATTCGCATTTTAGACAGAGAACAAGTGTTGCATCGTGAACGTTGCCTAACAGTACATAATCGTGTGTCGTTACTGTTTGCTCTCATGTTACAACGGACACGAATGTTCACGGGCGGGCAGGGCCCTCCCCCCACCCCCCAGTGACGGGCGTGCACCCAGCCTCAGCGAGAAGACCTGGCCTGGCGTAGCGGCACCGGCCCCGCCTCCCCCGGCGCGACGGGCCCTTCGGGGCAGCCCAGCTGCACGGCCCAGGGGAGCAGCCGGGGTCCCCAGGCCCTGGTGCGCGGCGGCGCTCGCCTCGGCCCTGAACCCCCAGCTCCTCCCCGGGCGGCGGGCCTGGAAGCCGGGGTTCCGTGTGAGCTGAACGTGCACCGTGCACCTGCCAAGGTCAGCCTGCGAGCCCGCCTGGGACCCAGGCGACGCCTCCTGGTTTATGCAACTAACGGCCCCAACTCCACTGCTGGGACGAGTGCCTGCTGATCTTGGCAGAAAACAAACCAGGGCTTGTTTACTCCTTGGTTCCCGACCGAGTACCAGGACGCGCCTTCTGACTTGCGGGGTGTCTGAAGCCCAGGCCAGCAGACCGGTGTTGGCGGGGGGCCTGCTCCCCAACAGGGGCCACCCCAGGGCCGAGCCCCCCAAGGCCCTTCCTTGTTCTTCTTCATGAAAACGCTGACACGCCACTCAGCAGGGAACGCAGGTGCCAGAGCCCGTCTCCTCCAGAGGACACCTGCTTCCGGCACAGCCGCTGCAAGTGCGAGTCAGCAGGACGCTCGGGCGTCCCCCTCCCCAGGGGACGAGGACACTGCCTCCTCCCCCTCGGACACGGGCAACGTCCCGTGGGCAAGCCAGGGGTTGTTTCCTAGAAAATTAAAAATCAACCGCAACTCCTAAGGGTGGAGGGGGAACAGGAACTGCCCCATCCCAAGTTTATTAGGAGTAGGAATGAAATTTCCTTACATTCTACTTGCTTTCTTTGAAGTCTTATTCTTGTTTTTAAAGTTACAATTAGTACTCACACAAGCAGCAAAGATCTTCAGTCACCCCCTTGGGTGGGGGTGGAAGGGCCCACAGGAGCCCACGAGCACCCGCCCGCCTGCGGCGGCACCAGCGGGCGTGCGCGAGGCCAATCCGTGCGCAGCAGCAGCAGCAGCAGCAGGGAGAACGGGGGTGGGGCGGGGGCTGGGGGGGCCTTGTGGTGCTCAGCCTCTCCGGGCCGCGGCTGTGGGCCCCATGCCGACTCCTCGGTGGCCATCCCCGGGGGGGCACTGGAAGCAGCGTCACCTGAAGTGTCGGCGCATTAGGAAGTCGGGTGCAACGCCAAGTTTTCCTGGGAGGCTCCCCCATCGAGGGCCACCTGAGTGTGGGCGTGGGCGGGGTCGGGACACAGGGCCAGGGAGGCTCATGCGGCTGCAGGCCCGGGGGCGGGGGGAGGGGGGTCAGGCCAGGAAGTTCAACCGGAACCACGTCCCTTTCAAAGGGCAGAGGGGTCACCTGGAACCCCAAGTTCCTCGTCTGCTTCTCGGGGAGGGTCCCCAGCACGCGCCCCCTCACTCGCAGGACCGGCAGGGCCCGCCGAGGGGTGGCCAGGGACGCCTGTGCCTGTGGCCGTGGGGACGTGCCGCTCAGGCGCACAGCCGCCGCCAGCGGCCTGACGGACGCGTGGACGACCAGCGCCGTGAGCAGCCCCGCCGTCTCGGGGCCAAACCTCCGCTGACCCTGCTGCGGGCGGGAGCCGTCCTCACCGCCGCCTTCTGCCTGCAGCTGACCCCCCCGGCCATGACTCTCCTGGCTCAGTGCCGCACCCAGCCCAGCCCACCCGGCTGAGGCACCGCGTCCCCAGCTGCTCCTGTGACCCCAGACGGCAGCGTCGGCGCCCAAGGGGCACGGCCGTCCGGGAACAGCGGACCTGCCCCCTCCCCGAGTTACAGCCTCGGCTCCTCACCAGCTTCCTGGCTCCCACTGAGGAATTTAATGAGGTACACACACTACACACGTGTACACGTGTTCCCCAGGGGGCCCGGCTCTCCCAGAAGTAAGCTGGCACGCCAGCCTCCCCCAGCCCGGCAGAGTGGCGTGACCCCGGCCGCCCACCGCGGCGGCTCGCTCCCAAGACTCTGCCCTGAGGAGAGCGTGCCCTCCTCACTCCGGAGGGGACTCCCAGGCCGTGCGGACACCGCCGCACAGGGACAGGCTGGCCCTCTGCCCCACTGCCGCCTCCTGAGGCCTCTCCAGCCCTGTCGTCGGCCCAGCGAGGCGGTGCCACGGCCGGGCAAGGTCACGCACGACGCCTGCAACTGACGCACAGGGGACACACTGGGAGCAGATGGGCCCTGTCAGAGCCTGGGGGAGGGGCGGGGGAGGGGGAGCAGGAAGCGGCAGTGTCTGCGTGGTCCCTGCCGGGGAGAGGGCGCCCCCGGCCTGAGAGTCAGCGTGGTCCCGGCGAGAGCAGCCCGGCTGGAGCGCCACCCGGGAGGCGAGGCTGCAGGGGCGCCACGCGGACCCCCGGCTGCGATGGAAGGAGGGGCAGCTGGGTCACACACCAGCACCCCGGGGGGCAGAGCAGCAGGGGCGCGCCCTGCAAGGGTTAAACCCAGTCCTCAGAGAGCCCCCAGCAGCCTGGGCGGGGCACCCAGCCCACACGGTGCTGAGGCAGGGGCCGCGCCGAGCCCCCCGGCAGAGCCGCGGCTGCTGTGTCCTCTCGGGGAAGGAGCAGCCGGGGGTGTGGTGAGGAGGGAATGAGGGGGCAGGCGGGTGGGCGGCCCAGGCCGTGGCGTGAGGTGCACGGGGGGTGGGGAGGTAGCGAGGAAGACGCGCCTCAGGAACTGAGGGCAACCCCAAGCACAGAGGAAACGAGGGACGGCCACGTGTCAGTCCTTGTTCTTCTAACCCAGGGGGCCGCCCCCGCCCCCGCCCTGCCCCGGGCAGGGACCGCGCTGGCCTGTGCACTGTCTCCAGGAATAAAAGGGCCGGTTGTTCTCGAGACATGAAGCTCGTCTGCTCAGCCCAACGCCCCCACGTGCCCTGCGGCTGGATGTGGGGTCACCAACTAGCAGAGGGGGTGGCAGATGGGGCCTCGAGGAGAAAGGGTCTGTGCTGAGGTCCCGCGGGGCCCGGACGGGCAAGCGGAGGGAAGGCCCGGTGCGGACGCCGATGCCCAGTGGCCGCGAGTCCTCGAAAGACACGGCAGCCGTGGCTCCGGCCACGGACGGAAACACCATGGCGAATGTCCCGCCTGCGTGCACGCTCAGGGGACGCGCGCTCTCCTCTCCCTCCCACCCTTTCCCTCAGGCTCGCGACCCGCCCGGCCCCTGGCTGCTGCCTGTGCGCAGGCGACTCCACCTCCGAGGTCTCCCCTCCTCCCTAACGCGCCAGCTGTGCCGAGGCTGGGGGCTCATGGGCTGTGCTGGCTCTGACACCTGGTTCTCGGTGCGAGCGGTGCGCACAGCGGCTCTGCACTGATGGGCGAGCGGAGGGCCGTGTGCTGCTGCGGCCGGCGTCACGCACCTGTGTGACGTGTGAGGGGCGGCGCGGGGCTTGCGTCTGGCTCAGAGGCGGCGACTACACAGAAACCACACAGGGAGCGACTCAGAGACGCAGAGACGTCTACTTGAGGCCACGCCAGCGAGAACAGGCTCCACGGCCCGAGTCCAACCCCGGGGCCCTCCTGGCGGGCGACGGGCACGGACTGGGGCCGCGCCTCTCGCTCTCCCTGAACTTGACCACAGGGCAGCCTGGCTCAGGTGCCACCAGGAGGGCGGGTGGAAGTGTGGGTCCCCCTGGGTTCCTGCACGGCCCGGCGCTACTACAGCGACTCGGGGATGGCGCTGACCACGCGGGCCGCCTCCGGGGCTGCAGGCGGGGACCCGAAGAAGGCGCCGGTCTGGTTCCACGGCTGCTCACGGAGGTAGGGCGGCACTGACGCGCTCTTGATGTGGAGGATTCTGGTGTCCATCACCTGGCAGTCGATCTGCATCATCACCTCGTGGTCCTGCCCGTCGATGACGTTCTCTGCAGAGGAAAACACGGGGGCGTCAACGACAGGCGCAGTTCTGCCCCCAGCACGGGCCCTGGGGACGCGACACACGTGCGGGGTGCCTGGGCGACCTGCCCTCCCCGCACGGGAGGCCTGGGGCCTCCAGGACGGCGGCCGGCTGCTGTGCTCCCTGTGGGCTGGGGTGGCAGGAAGGGCCCCCGGTGGCAGCGGGAGGAGCAACGGCCCTTCTTCACCAGCGACAGTTCTGGTGTCAGCGTGATGCCCCGATGCCCACGTCAGGGGGCGCCTTCGGGGTGCCAGGTGCCAGAGCCCGACTCTGACGGCGACCCCCTTGCCCAGAGCCCACCATCGCCCCCCCCAACGCCACGGTCACGCTGCTTCCACCTCCAAGCCCTGGACTCCAGGGGCAAAGACAGGGGTCCCCACCGGGGGCGCGGAGGTGGCAGTGCAGGCCGCGTGCAAGGAAACAGGGAAACCACGCACGGCCCGCCGCTGGGCCAGGGGGCGCGCCCCTCAACGGCCGAGGGCGCAGAAGGGATGGGGCCCATCTCGGGGAGAGGCCAGGCGGCTGCGTCCTCTGCCTGTCCGGGGCATCACGTCCCCGGGGCATCACGTCCCCGCGACACCTGGGCACGAAACCGACGAGGACCATGAAGAGTAACACCCGCAGGCCCAGCGAGGCAGGCCCAGCGAGGCGGTGCGCGGGCGCGTCCACGTGGCTCCTCAGCCTGCGTTTCCATCTGCGAGTCCAGAGCTGGCGGCGGGAGCGGCGCCGCCGCCTGGGCCTCGGCCTGTGCTGCCTTTTAGGGAGATGATACAGGGCCAACCAGGTTTTAAACATTAAACATTTGGCTCCTCTAAGACAAAGCACTGCATGTAGAAGCAGAAGCCTTTCCACTCCACTGTCCTGTTTCATTCCAACGCTCTGCGTGCCAAACAGCATATATCAGGGAAGAAACCAAAGTCTGACGTCTGCTCTTCTGATTCTGCTACGTTTCGGGACATGTGGCCATGGAGCTTGTCCCTTACGAGGCCCGGAGGCCTGTGGGGCCCCTCTAACCCAGCGTCCTCGGCGGGGTCCCCCGGGTGGACCCCAGGAGGCCACAGCCCCTGGAACGGTTGCTTTTTCACCAAGAGGCGCTCCATCAGTTCGGTGGGTCTGCAACCCCCCAAAGCCAACCACTGCCAGACCTCGGGCCCTTCCACTCTGTCCTGAGCAGATGTTCTATTCTGAGGCCGAAGGACACATCGCTCCCCCACCCCCACCGGCGGGCGCCCTGTTCAGCTTTAAAACTGTCCCCACGGACGGCGAACCTCTCGTTCCAAGTCCCGTGACCTGCTGCTGCCGCGGGGCCCCCGCACCCCCCCCCCAGCGGCAGTGGCCGGCTGCCCTCCCCATCTTCAGGCAACGACCCCTGGGTGCCTGGCCTGGGCTCCTGCTTCCCAGCCGAGTGTCTTCCTGCCCAAAGACGAGGAGACCAGAGGAAGGCCAGCTGCACGTGTCCTGCCGTCTCGCTCGGGCCCGGCGGGTTCGGGCGGCGAGGGGCCCCGCGCTGCTGCTTTCTGGAACCGGGCCCGTCCATCTCACAAAACGAAAGCCGCGTGCGTGCACACGCTGGGACACGGACGCCGCGAGGACAGGAGCACGTGGACCAGAACACATCGCTCACGCGCGCACTTCCACTGCCCCCTCGGCAGACCCGGGGCCCAGCTGCATCGGCGTCCACCCGCAGACGCCGTCGGAGCCCACGGGCCTGCGCGGCGGGAACTGGTCACCAGAGCTGCTCAGTCCCTTGAACGCCCAGGAGAGCGGGACAACCAGGACTGGGGGCCCAGGGGCATGGAGGCCCCACACCCCGAGGCCCGGCCACAGTCTGAACGAAGGGCCCTCCCTGCGCGCACGGCCCCCCGGGGCTCGGGATGGGGCGGGCGGCCACCCCTTCCAGCGGGCTCTGTGCTCGGCTCTTTTCTGAGGGGCCGGGACGCCATCGGGGCCCCGAGAAGGAGGCGGGGGGCGGGGCTGCTGTGAGCTGCAGGCAGGGGGCCCCTCCCAAGTGACGAGAGCGATTGGACCTGCGGCGGGCGCATGGCCAGCGCCCAGAGGAAGCTGCTGGGAACAGGGCGGACGCCCTGCCTGTGCTGGGACCACCACCCAGGGCCTCCGGGCTCCACGGCCCAGGGCGGAAACCGAGGGAGAAGGCAGGCGGCGGCAGCAGGACAAAGCGGAGCCCCCGCGAGCCGGAGGCACACGGCCGTGTCCTCCCCATCCCGAGACGAGCTCTCCCCGGTGGCGTCCTAACGGCGCCTCCTCCGTGAGAACCCTGCCCCCTGCCCCGGGCAGAGCCCCCCACAGTGACGCTCAGCATGCTGGGGCCCGGGCGACACTGGAAAACTGGGCTGGTTTACGCCTTAGAAAATGCCAGCCATGAACAGTCTTCAAAAAACCTGCCTTTCCAGGATTTTTTAAAAAGACTTTAGAGCAAGAAGGCTTTGACACCTCCCGCCAGGCCTGTGGTGACCTGCCACTCGTACCCGACCGGCCACCCGGCAGAGTGTGGCCCCGCGGGGCGCCCCGGCCCTGCCCCGTCTCCACACCGGCAGGTGCCACTCGCTCCCGGGGCCACGGAGGCACGCGGCCCACCCTCGTCCCGCACGTGGGGGCACCCACCCTGTTCATGACGCGGCTCTGCGGCGGCCGACCAGCCGAGTGGGTGCACGGGGCCGGCCTGCCTGCCTGCCGCGGGGCACCCCGGCTGGGGAGAGCCTGTCGGAGGAAGGCCTTGCACGGATGCAGGGAACACAGAAACCAGAAGGACCAGAAGCCCATGCGCAACTACTTACTGTGTGCAGCTGGGGTACACAGTGCGATTTAAGAGGAAGAAAACCGTCTCTGCGTGTTGAACATGTTTACATCAAAGCCACCTTTACTTTGGCCGAAGTTTTCCATTACTACAACTAAATACCAGTAATCTTCCTTAGTTATGGGGAAAAAATGAAGTAACACATAGAGATTTCCACTCTGTCTCAGAACTGAAATGCCGCCTCTTGACAAAGCTGGACTAATAAACAGTGAACGTTCAGCGATGCTTTTAAATATTACGCACATGTGCATATAAACATGTATTTCAAGGGGAAGAGAACAGCTTAGAATGCGCGTTTCCTGGAACCAATGTTCTCGCTGGTCTGCAGCTGGGGCTCCCACCGACATGCCACCTCGGGGTGCCAGGCCCGCCCTTGCGAGCTGACCCCCACCGGGCTCCCGGTGGGACTGGTGGCCGTCCGGGAGCCCGCACCCTGGGGGTCCCTTATGCACCTTCCTCTCGGGCCTGGGCTGGAGCGAATGACTCCTTCTGAAGAGCACGATGTGACGAGAGGGATGGAGAACAACATCAAGGTGAGGTGACAAATCCACGGGCCGCCACCGCGGGCACCAGGCCTGCTCATGCGGGAGGCAGTGCCGTGGCTCACGCGGCAGGGACAGAGGGAGGCCTCTGGCCGGCAGCCAGTGGACGCTGCAGCTCGCGGTCCAGCAGCTCATGCGGCCTCGAGTCCTCGACAACCGGTGAGCGAGCCTGCACGTGTCCTCCGGGCGGAGCCTCGGGCGAGACCACAGCCCAGTGAGGTTCCGCCTGTGTCTGACCCACTGAGATGGCCGGACAGGAAGTGCTGTTTTAAGCCACTAAGGTTCAGGGCAGTTTGTTAACGTATGACGAATACATCGAGCTGTCAGTGCAGTTCGGTGGAGCAGAAGGTCAGTTATTTTCTCATCCGTGGCTCATCCAAAAGACACTTCTAATGTCTGATACATGTTTAAACACTTTATAATAAGCAAGTTTGCCTTTACAGTATTTTTAGATGTTTGACTAAAGTTACCATTGGTTTGAAAGGGCCAATTCGGAAAGGAGAGTCAAAAAACGAGAAGGATCTAGTAATGAAAAGATCCGGTCAGAAACCGAGAGGCTCTGCGTTGGGGGCAGGGTGGGTGGCCGGCCCCCAGGAGGTCTGCGCGGCGTTGGTGACACGGCACGGGAGGGGCCGCGGGGCACAGACAGGGACTGGAGCAGGGACGGCGGGCGCGGCCGTCGGCGGCCCCGCCCCACCGTGGGCTCTCGGGAGCCAGCTGTGCCTGCTTGTGCCTGGCCAGAGCGCTGGGCACACCCACACGGGGTGGGCAGGACACTCGGCACAGCGCAGCCCCCGGAAAACAGCCCAGAACGCAGTTCCTCCACCGACTGCCACCTCCGGCGATGCCTTGAGAGTCCAGTCCCACTTTAAAAAAAATTTCAGGTTACTTCATAACATTTAGAAAATTCAGCAGGAAGTTCCAGAAACTGAAATTTCACCCAAGTTAAGGATAAGGCTTGCTCAAGAAAGTGAAAAGACAAGCCACAGATAGTGAAACTGTTTGCAAATCGTGTATCCAATGAAGAGCTCGTAACTACAACATGTAAAGAACTCCCACAACGCAATCGTAAGAAACAAATGGTCAAATCCTAGGCGGGCCCATGGCTGAGGCGGCCCCCACAAGACGGTGCCCGCCCCCCGCCCCCGTGCAGCCGTGATCAGGAGAGACGGCGCCAGGGCGGCCGAGGACGGGATGACGGCGGCACCGTCGACACCATGGGGAGGGGGGGGCAGGGGCGGGGGGCGCCAGAGGCGCAGCTGCTGTGCAAACCACACCGAATCAACGCGCTTTACTCGCCCCCAACGCACAGCCCGCGGCCCTTTCCATCACTGAATCCACCAGATCAAAACAGGGAAACAGCTGATTGGCAGACACAGCACGTCTCCCGAAGCCTTCACATCGTGACTAACGGGCGGAATCCTGTATTTCATGCTGAGATGACACTGTTTTTGAAAGAAGCATGACATTCAAATTCACTGTCACAAACGCAGTTTTATCCACAAATGTTAAACGAGGTGCGTGACGGCTCAGCATCCGCTTGAGAAACTGATTGTGGATACAGGGACCTCCGGAGGCTCCCAGAAACGCCGAGGCCAAGAGCAGCAATGA